AGTTGGTAAAAACTTGCCTATTCAAGCATTCCCAGGCAGTGATCCTGAGGACTTGTTTTACTGAACTCCAGACTAGTTGATGATGCTGTTCATGTTTTATTCTTATTTGATTGCATTGATTTTATTTTGTCACCTGCTTTGTTATTTATCACAGTGAAATGTGGTTTGCAAATCATTTTTATATATACAATGAATAAATAAATCCCCTTAATCAAAAGAGGCTTAGGCTAAGTAACTTTTGAGGCTCCTTCCAAAACCGTTATTCTGTGACTCAGCAACCACCCATTATGAGCTTTCAGTGCTTTTTCCCTTTAAAAAAAAGTTTAGGGGTACTCTCATTTTCCTACTCATATTGAAATACTGCCCCTCAATGAGGTCAAACTTAGATTCACAAAAGGTTTAGGGGTATGCGTACCCCTGTGTCCCCCCCCCCCCCCAGAAAAAAGCACTGTGAGCCTCTGAAATGGAGCCAAACTGAAAGTAAACCGCTGCCAATTTACCCTGTGCATGTTCACTGCAGGAGAGGGATGGAATATGATTGTGCCATCTAAACATCTGACCATAATATTGCCTTTCTCTCTTTGCAGAATAATATCACATAGGCTTATGAAACGCTGAATGTTAACAAGTCCTCCAGGCATATCAGATGATGAGCAAACACAATTGGGAGTCAAAAGTATTTTTCAGGCTGAGGTTGCCAAGAATTTCCCGAGAGATAAAAGTCTTTCATGTGTGGTGAAATAGGCCACAACCTCTAGGGTCAAATGTCACCATAAATTATTATAATTGCAATTTGTGGCAAAGACTGAAGTAAGGTTTGGAACCTGTCAGTGCCTATTATGGAGTGGGAATAAATTACAGCTTGTCATAAAATGATGGATTTCAGTTAGGGGCTTCCTTTTCACTCTGACGGCACCGACCTCCATTCACCCAGCAATTAACTTTGTTCACTTTAATATTCAGCAGTGTTGACAGGGCTGACATTGTAAAACTGGGTTTGCATAAAAGGAAAGACAGATTGCTTGAGAATCATTATTTTTACCTGAAAATTCATTGCTGAGCAGCAGCTCTTGATAAATGAAGAACAAAGCTTTTGACTTGACTGTTTAAATTGTTGTGCCAAAGAAAGGACTCTTGAGTTGCTGTTCATCTCAATAGTAAAATTTTGTTTGGAAATAAACAGTAATCTTAGCTGAAGAAGAAAAAAACCCTAACATATGGATGCAATCCAGGACTTTTTGGTCAGATGCATGCAGTACAGCGATCGTATACAGGCTACTTTGAATTGTTTTAGCATCCATCTCTGAAGTGCATCGCTCATTCACCCAGTATCACTGCATAGGTTTGGTGGGTTTTCCCCCTCTCTGACACTATATATCAGACAATCACCCAATCTGTTAGGTGAACTGGGGTAAATGAATGGCAGCTCACCTTCAGAAAACAGCCGCAATACACAGATGAATGTTTGTATTGCAGACTGTATATTTATTTAGATTAAAACAAACAAACCAAAGTCATGCTTCTGTTAAAAAAAGAAATCCCATAGCAGTTTGCAGTAACTCATAAGATACAATAGGTAAAGGGTAAAGGGACCCCTGACCATTAGGTCCAGTCGTGGCCGACTCTGGGGTTGCGGCGCTCATCTCGCTTTATTGGCCGAGGGAGCCAGCGTACAGCTTCCGGGTCATGTGGCCAGCAGGACTAAGCCGCTTCTAGCAAACCAGAACAGCACACAGAAACGCCGTTTACCTTACCGCCGGAGCGGTACCTATTTATCTACTTGCACTTTGAAGTGCTTTCGAACTGCTAGGTTGGCAGGAGCAGGGACCGAGCAACGGGAGCTCACCCCGTCGCGGAGATTCGAACTGCCGACCTTCTGATCGGCAAGTCCTAGGCTCTGTGGTTTAACCCACAGCGCCACCCGCATCCCTTAAGATACAATAAAACAGCAATAATTAATAAAATAGTTGGCAACTGTAAAGATCAGCACTAAAAATCAATCACAACAGGGTTTTTTAAATAAAAAAAAATTAAGATTAAAAGCTTGGGAAAATGAAATGGTCTTTGCCTAGCACCTAGAAGGCATTAGAATAGAAACCAGCTAAGTTTCCCTTGGTGTGCCCCCACCCTTGATGTTCCTGGACTACAACTCCCATCAACCCCAACCAACATAGCCAATGGTCACTTCCCGAGTACTTGGTAGTCATGGAAGATAGGACTTTGCTGCTAGTTGCTGCCAGGCTATGAAATACTTTACTCCCAGAGATTTGGTTGGTCCCTTCTTTTAAATGCCAGTTAAAATAGTCCCCCCCCCCTTTAAGCTCGCCTTAGCAATATGGCTGCTCTTGCTCTTATGTCTTTATCACTTTTATGATTGATTGCTTTATTTCACACTGTTTACATATACAGTGGTGCCTCGCAAGACGAAATTAATCCGTTCCGCGAGAGTCTTCGTCTAGCGGTTTTTTCGTCTTGCGAAGCAAGCCCATTGACGGATTAGCGCTATTAGCGCTATTAGCGGTTTAGCGACTATTAAAGGCTTAAAGGCTTAGGGGATTAGCTGCTAAAAGGCTATTAAAGGCTATTAAAGGCTTAGCAGATTAGATAAGGGGGGGGGGAAGCGAAAAAAAAATCTCAAGACTCGCAAGATATTTTCGTCTTGCGAAGCAAGCCCATAGGGGAATTCGTCCTGCGAAGCAACTTCAAAACGGAAAACCCTTTCGTCTAGCGGTTTTTCCGTCTTGCGAGGCATTCGTCTTGCGGGGCACCACTGTAATTTATTTTTACTGTTTTCATGAGCATTTTGAACCACCTCGGGGGTTCCATCGTGGAACAAAATGGCAAAATATATGCATGTGTACATATGCATATGCACACATGCATAAGGTGTGTTCTCCATCAGCTTCCATTAATCTCACTGGGATCATACAAGAGACATGTCTGGCAGAGATGAAACTTTGTTCTCTCCCCCCCCCCTTTCTGATTTAATACCAGTATAAAAACTAAGCATGGAAATGAAACAGAAGTGTGAGTATGTTCTGCAAAATGTAAAGGAATGTGCCACAGATGTTGTTTGAAGAGGTTAGCAGCAGCTGCTCTTTTTACATATTTGTTAAAATAAGCTACAGATCATCTGTTGTTAAAATAAGCAGCAAGAGCATCTTTGGCGCAGATTTTTCTCCAAAAGGGGGGAAAATGGGTAGAGAACAAGGAGAAAAGGATACAGAAAAAGGAAGTTATTTCCAGGCCGGGGGAGGGGGGGGGACGAGAAATGCATTAGACTGCTTAGCAATTTATCTTGATTTACCTTGATGAGTGGCAGTGGCACAAGTTTTGTATGTGTTCTCTCCCTTCCCCCAATTTTTTGGGTGTGTGGGCGGGTAACTTACTGGTCTCTTGCCACCTGTGGGAAAAATATCACCACATGTTCCACTGCCACCACATTTGCAGGCTGCAAAAGGAGCCACAATAGTGAGGTGCCATTTTTGGCATAGTTTGTGGATACCTGTTTTTATACTCGCCCCCCCCCCCCCAGCAATAGATTAAGTTAAAGGACTGCAGGCTCCCCACTTCCTACAAACAGTTAGAAACCATATAAAACCATGCTAGTTGCTTTCGCCTGCTTCCACTTCTTGCCCTGCCGGTTAATTTCTCAGCTCAGAATGGATTTAATCCATTTTCTCCCAGTGATGTAGAACAAGGTCCATCACCCAATGGTAGCAAACAAGTGAGACAGTACTGGAGGTAACCAACTCCAGAGTCTCTCATTTTAGACAAACTAGATTTTCCCAGCTTCACAGCCAACTCCATGTTTCCGAACCCTCACAAAAAGAGTACGTGGGCTTAGCACCAGCAGCAAGGAACACCAGCACCACAACTTTCCACCATCCGCATCACTCCAGTGCATTGTGGGTAAGGATGTGTGAATCTGTCAATTTAAGTTTTTCTCTGTTTCACATTCCTGTGACATACACAGTTAGGGATGCTTGACACTGTCACTTTTGCTTTCTCTACACTTCTCATTTCTCTCCCAATCTATTTCAGTTCTCCACATTCCTACATCAGCTTGCGATTAAACAAAAAGTCCTCATGAAAATTCATCAGCATTCTAGCGTGGATTTCTGCTAAAACACACATTGTTGTGTGCAGTTTTGCCCAATAAAAGGTTTTTTTAAAGCCATTTCCTCTGATATAATCGTTTTTGTATGTTATTTTTTTGGCTAACATATGCATTTTTATGCACACTTTACCCCGTATATGCATTTTTGGGTGGAAAACTGCATTGCAAAATGTGGAGAAATGAAAAATTTGAAGGACGGCTGCGTTTTGGTTTGCATATTGTTTTGGTAACTGCGGATTACGTAGGTTTGCTTCTAAATGTGAACTGAACCAATTCCCCCCACCCTGTCCACATCCCTAATTGTGGGAAATGTAAAATAATGACATCCGGGGGGAAATTTCTGAAATGTGGTGCTGGATCTTACGCAAGTCAATTTAAAAAATCACATTTTTTAAATAATAATAATAAAAGCTCAACAATTTTGAGGGTGTCCTTTTTTATTTTTTTGAAATATGGCAGGTGCTGGTCTCCCCCCGCTGGCTCACATGTGATAGATAAAGAACTGAAGGGTACTATTCACTGGCAGCCAATCAAATTCATCACTTTGACACCTGTGAAGGTCCATCTGCAGACTCATCTGAATCTAGCCCAGTGACGGTCTGTTTTCCATATGCCATAACCCAATATGAGAAGCACCCTGAGAAAAACTGATATTTTGCACCCTGAGTTAAAAATGGAAGCAGAGAACCTTTGGTGCAAGAGAAAAATCTCTTTCAAATTGTGAAATTCTCTTCCTCCTCTTCCTCCTCCTCTAATATGGCTGCCTGAGTGGGCTGTATGCAATGGGCAGTCTCCTACCAGGTCACTTACTTTGGTTTCATTTCCATGGAAAGAAAACCCAATGGAAATGAGGTGGGGGAATGTAATCACTTAGGTACATGCCTGAGGGATAGCTCAGTCAGTAGAGCATGAGACTCTTTAATCTCAGGTTCGTGGGTTCGAGTCCCCTGTTGGGTGAAAGACTCCTGCATTGCAGGGGTTGGACTAGATGACTCTTGTGGTCCCTTCCAACTCTACAGATCTGTAGTTCTGTGGTTCTATGTCATCTGTGGACTGCAAACAACAACAGCAAACACAGATTGTATTCACTGGATTGACTTCTGGTCTGGCTGTGGAATGAGAAAGCAAACACTGGTCATTTCTGCTCCTGATTCTGTTTTCGTTCTGGTGCATGCGTTTTGTTCCATTGCACTATAATGCAAAAGTGCTCCTCTAAGTGGTGGTAATGCAATAACCTTGAGGAAGCGTCACGTAATAACTAATAAAAGGGAATGGCATGTGGACGATCCCATATAAATCCAACATTAATGCACTGTTATTGCATCAACGGCATGTTGCAGAATACTCCTCCAAAAAAACTCACCAGTCTAGAGGGGCCATCTCCATGCTCTTTCTTCCCCAAGATCTCAGCAACACCTCCTCCACTATCAGGACCAGCAAGAAGAGCTTTCCAGAGAAAGACTCCTGTCCTGCTGCCTGCTTTCCTAGAGTGGCTATCATAGACGCCAACTCCCTGGGTGCCCAAGCACCCACAAAATTCCCCATGAAAGGGCCAGGCACCCACAAATTTCAGTCCCAGGGACATGCATGCTGCATGGCACCCAAGGCCCTGCCACCCACATTTGTGGGGCCAAGCTGGCACTCCTGGTGGCTATGTGAAGAAGTATGCATGCGCACGAAAGCTCATACCAATAACAAGCTTAGTTGGTCTCTAAGGTGCTACTGGAAGGAATTTTTTTTTATTTTGTTGACTATGGCAGACCAACACAACAACAGCAAACACAGATTGTATTCACTGGATTGACTTCTGGTCTGGCTGTGGAATGAGAAAGCAAACACTGGTCATTTCTGCTCCTGATTCTACCTACCTGCAACTGGTGGCTATCGTGAGAGGAAGGAGGTCTCTGGAATACATTTATTTCCAGCGCCTGGCAGAGGAAGTGCAGGCAAAGAGGAGGCCAGGTTGCTCTCCAGCTAAGGTGAGCTGCAGGAGGCTTGGGTCAGGCAAGGAGTACCACAACAATTCTCAACACAATATGCGGACAAGTTGTAGGCCGAGTCAAAATGAGCAGCCATTTGCTTACCTTGCAGTCTAAGGTATGGAATGGCGATGGTGCTGCTACTTCCTGTGGGTGCCACTTACAGTGGTACCTCGGGTTTCAAACACGTCGGGTTACAAAAACTTCAGGTTTGAGACTCCACTAACACGGAAGTAGTACCTCGGGTTAAGAACTTTACCTTAGGATGAGAACAGAAATCATGTGGCGGCAGCGTGGCAGCAGCGGGAGGCCCCATTAGCTAAAGTGATACCTCAAGTTAAGAACAGTTTCAGGTTAAGAACGGACCTCCAGAATGAATTAAGTTCATAACCAGAGGTACCACTGTATATTTCTGACAGATAGAGAGGTATGCATGTTCCTTGCTTACGCCCCTACAGTTTTGGATGCGAGTTTTTTGGGGAAGCTGAAGTGAATCCAACGATTTTTGACAATACGGTGTGACTACTAGCATCTGAGACCCGTTTACCAAGTTGTCTCTTCCAGTTTGGAGCCCAAAGTGTCTACACACTGAATTTCCATCTTGCAATATAGGGAGTGACTGATGCGCTACTAATGAGGCACCATCACATTTAATTACTTCCAAGGACAAATCACCAAATGGTGTCATGACCTCTTCCCAAATTTCATTTTCTTTCAAGGTTCTCCCCCCCCTTCTTTTTTTGTCCTGGAAAGTCTTTGGAAAGCTCTGGCTAAAAACAAACAAACAAGAAGTATCCTGTTCCTAAATGTTTACAGAGATCTATGTACTATATGAATACATGCTGTTTTAGCAAACTAAACAATATCACAATAAATCTCTTCCAAATGTTTGCATAACCTTTCGGAGTTTTAATATTAAATTCAGGATGCCAACAATTTTTTCTGGGGCCAGTGGCAGGGGATCAAGTCATTCTGGAGTGATTGTTTTCCTAAGATTTATTTTCATCCAGAAACTTCATCCCTGGCTCCTGGCATTGTACAGCTTCGAATCAAGGATGCCATGAATCTTGGGGTGCATTCAGAGCCAAATTACATGTCCAGAACTATAATACTGTGGATTGCATGCTGTCAAAAATATGAGAGTCTACACCTATTTCATTTAATTTATTGGATATGTATGCCACTCTTCCTCTCAAAGGAGCCCAGTGTGGCAAACACACCCATAATTTAAAAAAGAAATAAATCTAAAAACAGTTAAAGCAGTCTAAAAATTGTTACAGTTAAAAGATTTAAAGCAGTCACAGTTAAAAACTTTCTAAAAACAGTTAATTAAAAACAAAACATTATTTTGCCTACAATGCTAACAAAACAGTGGTTATATTTAATTGCTGATAATAAAAATAATTTTATTATTTGTACCCCGCCTAGCTGACTGGCTTGCCCCAGCCACTCTGGGCAACTTCCAACAAATATAAAAGCATAATAAAGCATTAAAAACATCCCTATACAGGCACTGCTAGTTTTCTAGAAAAAGAGGTGCAGGAACTCATCATGAACGCCTCCCTTGTTCTCTTATAATGGCAATGGCACCCACCTGAGAGATGCCGGAACTGAGTTCTGGCAATTTCCAGCTGAAAAAAAGTGCTGCCTTCAGATGTTTTCTAAAAGTTGTATAGTTATTTATCTCCTTGACATCTGAAGGGAGAGCGTTCCACAGGGCGCCACTACCGAGAAAGCTATTGCTGTTGTTCTTGGCTGTGGTTCTTGTTGCATTTATTACCCACCCTTCACCAGAATGGCTTTTAACGGGTACCAGGTACTTCTGTGAAAGACACTTGCAGCTAAGGCATTATAAATTGTGGGTTTCCATCTGAAACAGCACCTGGAAAACTTGGGTTGTGTCAGGGTCAAGATCCTATGATGTTAGTTCCACACTGTGGATGAATCACTCTTCCAGCAGAAATTCAGGAGGCATCATCACTGTTAACCTTCAGATATCTCTCTTGAATACCTTTTTATGCCACAGGACTATTCAACAGTTTAATTTTCTTTTCAATTTAGAGGAGCCAGTCATTCCTGCGGTTATTCCATATTGCCTTACGGTATTTTATATTGCGCACCACCTTGATATTTTATATGAGTGTGCAGTATGTACTGTAAGGACTTATATACATACATAAGAGACAAAATAGGCCAAAAGTGTAATGAGGAGATTTATTTCACATGTCAGTTTTATTTTATTTTTAAATTCCAACCATGGGGTGGGGGAGTCAACATATTGTTACAAGGTGTATGTCTGAACCCACAGGTATGTCCACCACACATGTGCCTTGAACATAGAGCACTGGGAGGGGTGAGACCTTTGGTATGGAGTCAATATGGGATACCAGTTAAACATGGGTGTATGCTTTTAACCCTTACGCTCAGTAATGAACTTTGCATGCCAGGAAATTTACCACATGACAGCAGAAGGACCAGCTCAGTTCTGCATTCTCCCTGCCTTTGGACATCCCATTTTGGGGCCTTCCACTGCCTACCAATGGCATGCATCCCATTGGCCCAATCCAAACTCCTCAACGCCCAGCAAAAGGAGGGTTTGGAATGCTCTGTAGGTATGGACCCATTAAAATTGAAGGATCTTTTGGAAATTTGGCTACAATATTACTGAGACCAGGGTAATCTGTACCATCGCACCCATAACATAATTTGTGTATTCCAGATAAGTCCTTGCAAAGGGAGGGGGAGCTGGCAAATAGCAGTTGCTTGGGGGCAATTCATAGGGGAGTGCTGTTGTTTTGTGCCCTCTTTGGTCACTTGTGGAAACAGAATACTGGGCTAGATTAGATGACACTCTGGTTTCATCCAAGAGATTCGGGACTCATCCAGCCAGGCTCTTGTGTTTTTCAGAGCAATATTTTCCCCTCACAACTCAGTTACCTTAGTCAGATTTGTCCATTTCTCACTTTGTGGTTAAACAACAACTACTCCCAAAACAAATACCCTGTATTCTGCTCTCTCTCTCTCTGTCTCCCTCCCTCTCTTTGAGTTAGGAATGCCACAGACTTTTTTGTGGCTTTGTTTGCTGTTATTTTAATCTGTTTGTTTTCTGCAGATTCTGACTGAAATTAAGCATTTTGGTTGACAGCATGTTTAATTTACCAACTCAAACAACATGCCACAGCCAAACAAAAACAAACCTGAAATATGAAGCTGCAGAAGCCAACTGCCTAAAATTCTCTCAACACACACCCAAACCCACAATTTTATGAGGGTCTAAATCATGGATGTGGAAGAACTCTGATTCAGTCTGCATTTAAAGGTGAGCCCACCTCATTCACATTTTCTGAAGTAAGATACAAACCCAAATGCAGCCATGCTTCAAAAATCATCCTTCTTCAAGGTTCACAGGCCTGATGTGATCTTACTCCTCCTCACCTTCCACCTGAGTTGCTGTGCATACCTGGGCTGTGGATGTGGCAGTGATCCTGCCGTTTTATAAAGCCCTGCCAACAGAGGGAGGAGGTTTGGGTGGCACCCTTAGTCATACTTAGAGTGGTTCTATTGATTTCTGTGGGTCTGCACTAAGTGTGACTAAATCAGGTCCACTCTATCCTTAGTGTGGGACTTCATTTAGTGGTGACCAAAACAGGTGACAGGCAGGATACGCACAGGGCTAACTTTGCTGTGGCTCAGTGTCCAGAGAATAGCCAATGTTAGCATAGACCAAAAATATATTCATCTGGCCCTCGACACTGCTGTCACTCTCAACAGCTCACCACATCCTTCTAGAAAATGTAGCTGGGAGAGGGAGGACGCATAAACTGTACAAAACCCCTTCCCAAGAGGCTAACTGGATGCCTCATCCACAATCAGATGACCAGGAAACTTTGGAAAAGTAAAGAAATGAGAACCACAGGAATCACTTGGTGGGTTTAGTTTCCAAAATTGAGTGAAGGTCTTTGAAAAATGGCATCACTC